AGATTGATTACCACTTTGTTCGAGAAAGAGTTGCTCACGGGGATCTTGTTGTGAAATATTTTCCGACACAATTACAGTTAGCTGATATATTCACTAAGAATTTATCTAGTCAGCGTTTTGAATTTTTACGTACCAATCTGCGCGTTGTTTCCCCTGCACAGATTGAGGAGGTGTAATAATGTATTCTATTAGGACTTGTGTGTAATTTTCCTATTTCCATTTATTATAAATATAAGACCAATGCACCCAAGAGGGTAAGCCATTATTTCCAAAACTTATTATTTTGTATAATTAATAGGGAAAAGGTGCAAATAGGCCCATGTACTAACCAAAAAAGGTCAAATAAGCCCTTATTTAGGAGACTTTGTCCGGCCGTCAGCCATTTGGGGTGGTTCCCGGTGGAATTTTTGGATGAAATTTTTTGAGCATCTTATTCATTAAGTCTAGTTTACTCATACCAAATTTCAGCTAAAACTTCAATCGGGAAGACATTCAAATGAATTCTTGAAAATAAATGCGCAGTTAGAAGCACAGTTATCTTCAAGAATTCATTTGAATGTCTTACGGATTAAGGTTTTAGCTGAAATTTGGTATGAATAAACTAGACTTGATGAATAAGATGCTCAAAAAATTTCATCAAAAAATTCCACCGGGAACCACCCCAAATGACGACGGCCGGACAGAATTTCCTAAATAAGGACTTATTTGACCTTTTTCGCTTAGTACATGGGCCTATTTGCACCTTTTTCCCTAATTAATACTACAAAAACAAAAATTTATACGGAATATATATATAGGACCGACTAAATTACAAACAGTTGTCACGCTACTAATCTATGCCTGTCAATGGATCTTATTTGAACCTTGAGAGGAGTGTAGTGGCCGGTACTGTTTTTGAACTGTTAGATCATATAGTAAGAACCCACATTCCACTTTTATTTTCTCCTAACCTAAAAATAAAAATGGCTCCATAAACAAAACAAAAAAGAAATACCAAGAGAAATAAACAAGTGTAGGGCAGTGACCTGCAGAGGATGCTATTGTAAGTGAATGGTGAAACCATATGAGGAGGTAGTGGATCAACACTTTTCATTTTGCTTCATATAAAGAATACAGTTAATTAGTGGGAGAGATATTGATGGTTGCTCTTTCTGGGATCAGTATCTGATGTGATTCTGCAGAGGACTATTTGGATCAGAAGTCCGGCCCTCACTCTTTGGAATAATATTATTATGAAGAATTCAATGCAAGCTGCAGGCCAGGCAGGCTGGCCTTAGTCTTGGATTTTTGCAACTTGCAAGCATGCTTGGTAGGCCAGCACTGACTTTATTAATTTTCACCATCTCAATGCCTACATTTTAGGGTTTGATCACCTTTTCTTACCAATTCATAACTCTAATCCTGATATATCCTAATATAGTAATAGCTCCCTTCCCTTAAGTTTTGTACAAGATGAGGTAATATAATTAATTAATTATTAAGAATGATGAGGTAATATAATTATTAAGAATGATGAGTCTTGTTATTGAATTTATAAAGTACAGCAAGAATAAACTTAGAACGGTTTAGAACCGGCCACACAGATATCACTAAATTTGATATGGGCGGATCAATTTTAATGGGATTGACTGAAAAGAAAAAAGGACAATTTTTTTTTGTGATGAAGGAAATAATGTATGACATTTAATTATCTCATTGGACATGGTCAATTTTATGTTAGCTAAGAAATAAGATAAGTAAAAATTATTTGGTTGAGAGTTGTCTAGATGAAAGAGAAGTGAAATGAGATAATCATGTACTTGATGAGGGCAAATTTAAGAATCTCAACAAATTATAGAACAACATAATACCGGCAGGATCACTTTAGAATGGCATGTGCATCACACATTGAAGAAATAGCTACAAATAAGGCTAAAACAAATACAAAATGGGCAAACGAGGCTAATTATGTTTTGGTCTCAAAGTATGATTTATTTAATTTAATCCTATTAAGTTATCAAAGTTCTCCACAAGTCCACAACCTTAGGAATAAACGAGTCTTATCTTAAGAAAAAATAATGATACAATGGATCTATTTGTGCACTTTCTCTAACTAAAAACCTTAAGTTTTCAACAAGCAACTATTATATCCATTTCATGATCTTTTACCAATGCTATTTGAGGTATGAAATTTTATTGCCCGAGATTTAATAGCACTAAATTGCGATAAACACGGCATATTTGTCATCATTTATTTAACCTTAGCTTACGTATAGTACCCTTCAAATGTACCGACCGCTATTGTGAGTTATCTACTTGTAATTTCATTTATTGTTTTCTTAAATTTAATTAAAATATATATCGTTCTTATATAAATTAAAATTATTAACTGGTTTTGTTAACTCAAAACCATTCCAAAAACTTAGCTTGAAACTAGGCAAATTCTACAATAATTAATCATCTTGTACGTACTACAAGTCAAGACCATATATATATGAAGTTTATTTTTCTGCACTACCATGAAATGGTCATAGCTGGCTGGCCATATTGCTATCATAGTCTTTTAGAATGGGAAAAATTGGTATTATTAATCCCAACTATACCCGGTCCGCTTTTAATAATCCCTAGTACTCATTATTTCCCTGTAGCCCCAACTTTAGCCCCCCTTTTCCTGAAATACTCCCCCGCGCTGAATACCGGCCAAACCGGTAAATTAAAATTTTAAACATCATAAAAGCCTCATCCTTTACTTCTCACCTACCACGTCTGAACCACCGGTCTCAGCCATAGAAAACGAAACTTGAAGAAGCGTTAGTGAGTTGGTTTCGACCGGAGAGGGAAAACAGAAGAGCCGGGCAGGCACGTTGGCTCTTTGTTACTGTTCTCACGTTGGAAGGTAAAGGCTTAAACTTGCACTTGTTTAATATTCTTGTATTGAAGTGAAGTTGTACTGAAATAGTCAAATGAACTTGGAATTAAATTGTCAGTCCAGATTTTAGGGTTGTATGATTTTGTTCAAATGATGTAATTCCATATTGCAGGGTTGTATGATTGTGTTCAAATGCTTGTTTGGTATGATTACAGTTCTTGGGTTTATTGTGATAATTGTTTGTAATTCTTGTAATTCATGGCCTGATTGGCACACATGAGGCTTTTCATTTTATTATTTTGCAGACAAAGACTTCTTAGACATTTAGAAATCTATTCTTTATCATATTCTCATGTTGTTCACTATACTTATTCTTCCTCTGTTCTCCATTTATTAATAGGTCATACCTGAGATGGCTACTTCAACTGTGATTACAATTAAGATGTGGCATGGAGGTATCTTTAAGCACAACAAGCATAAAATTTTAGAGTATGTCAGTGGTGAATATAAATGCTTTGACATCGATGCTGATGAGTTGTGTTGGTTCTGGTTAGAGGAGTTAGCTGGCAAATGTGGCAAATATAGCAGCATTGATGATATTTACTACTTGATTCCTGGTCAAAGTTTAGAGAAAGGTTTGAGAAGGGTTAAGCTTGATGATGAAGTCAGGGAAATGTACAAAGTGGCTATGCAATATAAGATCATTGACTGCTATATAAGACATGGACTAAGCTCCCCAGAATTGGTGCTACTACTTGAAGGAGGTGGGGATAATGAAGGGGGGGCATCTGAAGATGGAGTTAATGAGGGGATAAATCCAAGTTCAAGAACTTCAGGCCTGAGTGCAACTAAACCAAATACAGGAAAGGCAGCACAAACCTCCAGTTCACAACCACACACCTCAAGAAGCGAACATGGAGCACAAGATGAAGTAATATTTCGTGATGAAGCTTCTGAGTCTTCAGATGATATGGCAGATGAAGATGGTGAGGAGTTAGAGGTCCCACTTTTTGGATCTGATCAAGACACAAGTGATGAGGAATTTAGAGAGTCAAGAAGAAGAGTGAATGGCTGGAACTCCAAGATTGTGCAAATAGCCAAACAACTGCAAAAACAAGCAGGTCAAGGAAAGTTAGGTGAATCAAACCCCCCCTCAGACACAGTACAGGAAGAAGAAGAAGAAAATGCACCTCACAACCAATGTGTGAGTGACTATGAAGATTCAGGTGATGATATTCACACACCTCCAGGGAGTGATGGAGATGACAGCCTGTCAATAAGAAAGAGAGAAAGAATTCCCGTGGTGGATGCAAATACTGACTTCAAAGAGCTGAAATGGCAGGTTGGGATTATATTTGAGAATAGGGAGAAGTTTAAGGATGCTGTGGCCAGATTTGCCATTGCCCAAGGAAGAAATTTAAAGATCAATGTCAGCCACAAGGAAAGACAACAAAGAATAGGTGCTAGATGTGTGGAAGGTTGTCCATTCAGATTGTATGCTAGTTGGGACAGTAGAAGAGCTATCCAGACTCAAGATGAACCTCAGACCAATCATGAAACCATTGCACAACCATCAAGAATAGGCAGGGGAGGAAGACTGATTCAAGGCAGAGGAGGTAACCCAAATGCTAGGGGCAAAAGAGGTAGACCTGTAAGAGGAAGGGGTAGGGGTCAGGTTCCTGTAGGGTTTGGAGTGCTTATAGATGGAGAAGGAAACACATGGTCTAATGTGAGTATATTAAGCCAATACTATTTCACATTTTACTGATTTTTCACATTTGGTGAATATGTTGAATAAATATCTCTGAATTTTTATAAAAAAAGATCGAAGTCAGAGAACATATTTGGTGAATATGTTCAATGGATTTCTATTTAAAAAAAAGAAGAAGTCAGTGAACGTATTTGGCGAATATGTTCAACAGTTTTCGATTAAAAAAAATCAAGCAACATATTTGGTGAATATGTTAAACGATTTCCAAAAAAAAATAGGTTTGAATAGATTTAGTTAACAATGCTTTATTTATTTCTTCCCACATTTCACGAAAATTATACACTACAATCTACTGAAATGAAAATTTATATATTCTGAATTGAAATATTTATTGAAATGATAATAAACAACTTGTTATTAAAAACTTAAAAAGTACAATTCCTTCATAAGAAATTATTAAAAACGCTGAAATATTAAAAATACATGAAATCATTGTTGTCCTCTTCTTCTGCTTGGACGCATATCCATCTCATTTTGAAACCTCGTTTCTTGACGACGCCCCACTCGAGAAGTTCGTGATAAATATTTTGGCGGTAAAAGATGGATCCCAATATCAGGCCACTCATTCATATTTGGTAAAGGCATAATATCACCAGCATGTGCATTAATGTAAGAGGTCAGTTTATAGACTTCCGGAATAAGTTGATTGACAGGGCGGTCGAGGAAGTGACACACAGCATGCACGTGGCTGCATGGCATCCAGTTCATCCTCCAGCAGCCACAATCACAGTCGCTCCTTGAAAAATCTACCGTAACCAGAGTTGCATTTTCTATGGCTACTGAGAAAACTCCATTGTGATAATTGTGCGGGATTACAATAGTGTGACGCCTTTGTTGCCATCCATCCATAATCTGCTTCCGGATTTTTTCCGGAAATTGATTAAACATCCTCCAATCGAAGATGTGTCCGCCTTCGCCGCTTCACATAAGTTGTGGTACAGAAATGCCAACACAGCTGAGCCCCAACTCCACCTAGTCAAATTCTCTACATTGTCATGCAACAACTCAAGAAAGTAAAGTGACGCTCTACCGGAAGTGCTAGGGAACAACAACCCACTGAGCAACTGCCAAATCAACGTTTTAGTATGTTGAATAACTTCAATGTCAGTGCTCCACGGTGAAAACAAAAAGCGCTGAATGGCTAGATTTCTAATGTTGTTGGATGATATTATATCTTTTTCAAATGGTCTGAAACCAAGATAATCATCACACATTTGGACCCATTCAGTCTTACTATGTGCCGTCGGACCAGTACGTGGGAGACCATCAATCGGTAACCCCAGCAGCACCTGTACATCTTGCAAGGTAATGCCGACCTCGCCAAAAGGTAAATGGAAAGAATGTGTTTCTGGTCTCCACCTCTCAACCAATGCAGTGATAAGACCGTGATCAATTTTGATTTGTACTACTCGTTCAGCTCCTTGAAAGCCTGATGCCCTCAGCAGTTGTACGACTCTAGGATCACGTTCGCCATCGTCTTTGGCGGATTTGGGGTAAGTAATGCACCTCAATTTTAGGTCTCTCGACTCTTCAGTTTTCCACACATTATCGGCACGATGTTCTCCAGGTTTCATTACCAATACAGAACGTTTTATGGGCCCGGGATGGGGGTGCTCTCTTTGTGTAGCCATGAAAACCTAAAAGTATATTATTAAATTAATTCCAAATCAACACTCCTATTTGTAATACTTTGTGCGTAATTACAAATTTAATTAAACAACACTATTTATAATACAAATTATATATGTAATTAAACAACACTACTTATAATACAATTTGTAATACAAATAAATACACCTAATTAAAAAACAACATATTTCGTTAACTATAGACTAATACTATACATTAATTTTTCGTTAATTATCACAACTTATAGACTAATTTCTACACCAAAATAGGAAAAATTACTACAAACTTTAAACTAAAGGTGGGTAAAATTTTCCAAAAAGGTTAGCATGCATATTACTAAATTTATACATACATATTTGGTTAAGTAACACTAATCTTTCATATTTGGTAAATAAACTAAAATTTCGCAAGTTTCCTATTTCACTTTTTTTGTTTAGGTTCCTAATTCACAATTACAAATTAACACTATTATAGAATGATTTCATTCCTAAATTACTAACTTTAATTATTACCTAAATTAACCATTAAATTGGAAAAACTTAATTACATTATTAATAAATTTGGAGAAGGAGTTGGCCTAAAGTAACATAACGTTAACTAATTTGGAGAAGATATAACTTAATGTTAAATTACTTAACGTTAATTAATTTCATTCCTACTTTTATAAAGTAACAAATTAAATTAAACTAAAAATATTAAAGAAGAACTTACTTGGGTTAAGATGAAGGAGATGGCCAAAATTTGGAGAAGTTAGAAGACAGATTGGAACCGTGAGATGGGGTTGTGAGGTGAGGTTTGTGGTGGAGCAGGTTTGGCAAACATGTTGAGTAATTGGCAATCCGAACCACCTTATTCTGACCAATAGGAGCACGGACATATTCACCAAATATGTTGAGAAATATATTAATTTATTACAACAGATTCGTAAATCTGCTCAAATAGATCGAATCAATCCACACCCTTCAGCTGGCGATCCGCGCCCCATATTTTTGACCAATAGGAAGACCGACATATTTGGCAAATATGTTGGGAATATCTTATTTTAATGCGATCCAAGCCCTTCGCTTCACGATCCAAGATGGCGATCCGCGCCCACCCCTCTTGACCAATAGGAAGACTGACATATTTGGAAAATATGTCCAGATACATATTTTTTTCTTTTTGCAAATACTGAACATATTTGGCAAATATGTTGAACCACTTCAACCAATAATTCAGTCAAACCTACACCTTTTGGAAACACCTGCAAAGATTCTACCCTGTTCTGTCATTTACTCTTTTCTCACACCGTATTAAGTATCGTACATATGGCTCAAACTTATTGATATCTTACATGTTCAATCATTCAAAATGTCTTACACGGAGTAATAGTTTGCCACATTTAGCAACTATGAAAAAAAGAATTATTTTTTGAGACAACTACAAAAAAACACGGGATTGGCAGGGATTTTGGCACGGATTTGACACAGATTTTGGCAGGGATACGCCAAATCCGTGCAAAAAACACTTTGGCACGAGCTATTTGGCACGAAGAATTGATAAGTTCGTGCTAAATTCCGTGTCAATCCCGCCTTTTTTTGTAGTGCGCACGATACCTAAGGATATGGACCGTAAATTTTTATTCTTGAATAGGAAGTGACATTTGTTCTAGCTAGAAGAATTAAACTTAAAAAGTTGTCAAACTACTGAAAGGCGTACAAGAGTGTATCAACCACACGATTATGCTTTCTAGCGGTGGGCACAGTACGATCTGGTTCAATATTTTGCCGAACTTATACCCGTACCATAACTATTCAAACGGTTTGGTTCGGTCTTAGCCCTAAACCCGTTCGGTGCGGCTCCGTTTTCAAACGGGACGACACCATGCCATATCAATACCAAACAATGCCACCTTCTAAAATAAAACTCAATTTATCTAAATCTTCCAAAAATTCACACAATTTATCAATTTTCATATTACATAATTAATAAATCTTAGATAAACTATAGTATTACCAATTTAAATCATTAAACTATACTTCGGTTCGATTCCAAGCTTCCAGTGAACTAGCAAAGACTGTGAAAGTGAGAAGACACTAATCAAAGTAATGGTATAAATGTACATTTAAATGATTAAATCATACTCCAGTACCGGTTCTCATATTCTCATTTTATGAGAACCGGTCATGGCATTGTTTGGAACTGGTCCGGTCCGGTTCAGGACAAAAATTATGTGATCTGTTTCAAACCTCATTTTTTCGGTCCGGTACCATACCGGTCCGGTTTGGTACCATGTCAATTCAGTATTTTTGCCCACTCCTAATGCTTTTGATCCCTTGTCCTAAACATATACTACAAAAAAGTGAAAAACTTACGGGATTGAGGATGTTTTCTTTTGGACTGTTTTCATTCCCAAAGCAGACCAGACCAGACCAGACTTGACTTCCGTAGTTATAAAATACACAGAGACCAGACGTTTACCAACCTAGACCAGGCTAGTTCAGACCAGATCAGATCAGATTAGCCAATTTCAGTCCAAAAGAAAACATCCTCACATGGATTTGGGAAGATCGATGATTTCGTGTCAAATAGTTCCTTTTTTTTGCCCGAAAAAGCACCTTTTATGGTGTGGTAAATGTCAGGATCCATTTACCAAATTTATTAGGTTCACCAAGTGTACATGTACAAGAAAAGTGGGCTAAGCCCCTAAATGATAGTAAAGTGCTGAAATTAAGACCAAGAGTCCAAATAAATCAGCCCAAAAGGGTAGGCAGCGTAAGTCCAAAGCTTGGGAATATTTCCCTGCACCAAACATAATCGGCCAAAAGGAATGTCGGCAGACCCTAATTCCAGACGGAGTCGCTTAGAGAGAGACTTTGAGAGCCGCAAACCAAAACCGAAGTTTATCCGGCGTCTCTAAAGAATCCAATGCCATCTTTGTCGTTGTAGAAGGCTTGCTTTGCTCTGAAGGTGTAATACCCGAGATTAATTTAAGAGGATTAATAGTACTACTCATACAAACAGAGGTGCATCTCCTTTTAAGGGAGCTCATCACCCAAGAACTCCAAAGTTAAGCGTGCTTGCACGGGAGTAGTATTGGGATGGGTGACTCCCTGGGAAGTTTCTCAGGGCGCGCATGAGTGAGGACAAAGTGCGCGGTAAAGGCTTGTGGTGGTTTGTGAGGACAGTACTAGAGGTCCGGAGTAACTACCTCGGGTCCCACGGGGCCGGGGTGTTACAAGTGGTATCAGAGCAACCCTGCGACAGTGTGCTGATCCGTTAGATATCGGGCAGACACTTAGCAGGGGAAAAGATTCTGGGGTTTGATTCAGATTGGTTTAAGGGCGCAACGAGGACGTTGCGATCCTAAGTGGGGGTGATTGTAATACCCGAGATTAATTTAAGAGGATTAATAGTACTACTCATACAAACAGAGGTGCATCTCCTTTTAAGGGAGCTCATCACCCAAGAACTCCAAAGTTAAGCGTGCTTGCACGGGAGTAGTCTTGGGATGGGTGACCCCCTGGGAAGTTTCTCAGGGCGCGCATGAGTGAGGACAAAGTGCGTGGTAAAGGCTTGTGGTGGTTTGTGAGGACAGTACTAGAGGTCCGGAGTAACTACCTCGGGTCCCACGGGGCCGGGGTGTTACAGAAGGGAAGAAGAGCATGCGTGTAGGTGAATATTGCGAGGTGTTGAGGCTTGACTGAGCAAGGAAATGTGCGACGGTGTTCGCCTGATGGGGATGGTGGAGAAAGGTGGCCTGAAAGTTAACCCTTGCTGCGCGTAGTCTGGATATTGGTTCCTTCAGGTAACTCGACACTCTTATTGTCCCTTCTGTCATTTGAATGCATACTTTAGAGTCATTTTGAACCTGGAAGTTTTTGTAACCCTTTTCTATGATGATGTGTATCGAGGTATCCATTGCTAGGGTCTCTGCTTGAAAGGGGTTATGAGCTTGTAGCAGGAAGCCGAAGGCCTAGAGCAGAAGGCCGTTTGAGTTTCGTAGTATTGCCCCACCAGCCCCTAAACCTTTGTTGAATGCCGCATCAGTGTTGAGAATGAGTGTCACTGGTGAGTCTATTTTCCACCTGATTTGGCCCTTATATTTTTCTGCGTGTTTAATGTACGGCATGAGACCATCAATGTATA